GGGAGGCAAACCATAAGAGACTCTTAAAAACTGAGAATAAACTGAGGGTTGTTGGGGGGTGGGAGGGAGGGGAGGGTGGGTGCTGGGCATGGAGGAGGGCACCTGTTGGGATGAGCACTGGGTGTTGTATGGAAACCAATTTGACAATAAATTGCATATTTATTTTTTTTAAATAAATTTCACATTAAAAAAATGTTTATTTATTTATTTAGAGGGGGGCGGGCAGGGAAAGAGGGAGAGAGAGGATCCCAAGCAGGCTCTGCGCCATCAGCAGAGAGCCTGACGTGGGGCTTGGACCCACGAACCGTGCGATCATGACCTGAGCCGACATCAGGAGTCGGAGGCTCAAATGACTGAGCCAGCCAGATGCCCCTAAAATAAATGTGTTCTAAAAGAAAGGCACACCTCGTGCAGTTTTGGGGGAGCAAAAAGTACGATACCCCCGGCACGCACCACACACACAAATTCCTCTCCTCTCCCGCTTCCTCCAACCCCCATTAAGCCAACCCAGCACACCCTTCCTGCGCCCCCACCTCTTGTGAGGGCCCCTCTGTGCTGCGAGGTTCCCTCTTGGGAAAGCGTGCCTCCCGAATGCCCATTTCACGTGGCCTCTGCCCCATTTCTATCCCCAGCGCATGAAGAATGAAAATGCAACATCCACATGGGAACTCACATTCACCAAACACACGTTTACTGGAGCTGAGAGAGAATTTCAAACTTCACTGTGGAAGAGTGAGTCAGCGACGAGGAAACAAGGCAGGGACATGGGATTTCCAACTTGCCTTTAAAGGGCCAAGGATCAATACCCAGGGCATTTATTCCAAATCTGTATTTTCTCCTCCTGGGAGCACCCATTTAAGGGAAAAAAAGGTGTCTCCCATGGCCCTGGCAAGTGTAACTCAGGGCTTCCTGGCTGACGGGTACCGTGGGTGTGGTCGGGGGCCGATCTGGAACGGGGGCGGCAGCTGGTCACCGAGCAGAAGGGGAAGAGGGACGAAGAGGCAGAAGAAACGCGTGGAAATCTGCCTTAACGAGTTCCTGGAGCGCCCCTAGGAGCCTCACAGCCCGTC